CCGCGCGGCACGTTCCCCCACTCCTCGCTGTCCGCTTCGCGCCGTTTAAATATCCTACTCTACTGTTGCGAATGAAAAATATTCACAGTTTATTCATTTATTCATATTTTACATGATTTTGACAAAAGGGTATCATTTCGCGTACATTTCGCGCTTTGCTTTGTGGAATCTCTGGCACTAGTTTAATCCTATATTATTTGCGCTGTTTGTATACGTAACTGATAATTATTCGCGTGTGTGAGGTATTTTTGATATTTAACGATACATTATGGCTCAATTTTCACTTTTAAAATATTTTAAATGATTCATACTTAAACAAAGGTTGATAATATTCTATACAAGTAATAAGTTAGAAGTATAGTTGTTTAAAATAATAAATACTAAATAACTCTTTTATCTTAAAATAAAACGTAAATGATAGAATTCAGCAATTTAAATATTATAAAAGAATAGCAAGACGTCAATCTTTTATTAAAAATATATTGTGTACACTGCACGGATTTTGTATAACATAAAATTCCCGGGAAAAATGTTTCACATATAATTATATGTAAGTACAAAATATGTCCATATAGATATATATATAATATATAATATTTTTTCCGGGTTATTATAAACTGATATAATCACTTATTGTAACACAATTAAACTAAGATGGTCGTGAGCTGCGTGAATGCGTAAAGCATCTAAGAAATAAAGTAGAAACCGTGTAATAAAGCCCCTATTGATCGGAGAACATTAAAAATATAAAGAATATATTATTTTACTTATTCGTAATATTCGTTATTATTTTACAAGCAGGCCGTGCCGCGTGCCGCTCTTCACATTTCTTGTTGAAATCGCGATAAATACATAATACGAATTGTCGCACTTTAGATTCCAAAAACTTACATAAAATATTTAATAAGAAAAAGTCAGAAAAAGTTTTTTTAATCCTTAAAATTCAACGATTTTTATTTACATATGTAAGAGATGTGGAATTAAAATTTCGTAAAAGTTCGTTTAAGGACCCATTAAACTATCCCTCTTTCAAGTGTTGACCAATGAAATTATCAGTATTCTAGTAAATTCGCTCACTTTTGTAATTTTCACCTCGTTTCAAGATACAGACTCGATCCCCTGGCAACCCTGGTGATTACGCGCTTTTGTCTCCATTTCTCTCTACTGAAAATTTCTCTATAGATAGCGCTAACATTTGCATCTGCACCTGCAACCTGCACTGGTCAGATAATTTCATTGATCAACACTTGAAAGAGGGATAGTTTAATGGGTCCTTAAACGAACTTTTACGAAATTTTAATTCCACATCTCTTACATATGTAAATAAAAATCGTTGAATTTTAAGGATTAAAAAAACTTTCTCTGACTTTTTCTTATTAAATATTTTATGTAAGTTTTTGGAATCTAAAGTGCGACAATTCGTATTATGTATTTATCGCGATTTCAACAAGAAATGTGAAGAGCGGCACGCGGCACGGCCTGCTTGTAAAATAATAACGAATATTACGAATAAGTAAAATAATATATTCTTTATATTTTTAATGTTCTCCGATCAATAGGGGCTTTATTACACGGTTTCTACTTTATTTCTTAGATGCTTTACGCATTCACGCAGCTCACGACCATCTTAGTTTAATTGTGTTACAATAAGTGATTATATCAGTTTATAATAACCCGGAAAAAATATTATATATTATATATATATCTATATGGACATATTTTGTACTTACATATAATTATATGTGAAACATTTTTCCCGGGAATTTTATGTTATACAAAATCCGTGCAGTGTACACAATATATTTTTAATAAAAGATTGACGTCTTGCTATTCTTTTATAATATTTAAATTGCTGAATTCTATCATTTACGTTTTATTTTAAGATAAAAGAGTTATTTAGTATTTATTATTTTAAACAACTATACTTCTAACTTATTACTTGTATAGAATATTATCAACCTTTGTTTAAGTATGAATCATTTAAAATATTTTAAAAGTGAAAATTGAGCCATAATGTATCGTTAAATATCAAAAATACCTCACACACGCGAATAATTATCAGTTACGTATACAAACAGCGCAAATAATATAGGATTAAACTAGTGCCAGAGATTCCACAAAGCAAAGCGCGAAATGTACGCGAAATGATACCCTTTTGTCAAAATCATGTAAAATATGAATAAATGAATAAACTGTGAATATTTTTCATTCGCAACAGTAGAGTAGGATATTTAAACGGCGCGAAGCGGACAGCGAGGAGTGGGGGAACGTGCCGCGCGGCGCGCGGCGACAATAACGACTACGTCATCACTTCGGCATTCGCCCGGCGACCACGGAGAGAGACGGACGCGTTTTACGAGTTGTTCCGGATGTCGCATTAATTAATGAAAATTAGATCTTTACGAACGCGAATTACGTAAAGTTGCTTTAAACTAAGGAGTGTGCTAAGGGTTAATAGATTTTATTGCACAGATTTGCTCAATTTCTTAGATTCGTTACGCGCATATACAGCTGAATATTTTAGATATTTCATTTGTTCTCACATGTACGGTATAAAAATGAGATTCTTATTGTTAGATATTTCAAATTGTAGCTTTTTATCACTTTGAATCGTATAATTCTGCCATTGTTGCGTTA